GCAGCAGCAGGGCCCGCCCTGGCCACAGCAGCTCCGTCTCCGCGCCCATGTCCGCTCCTGGCCACTCCTCCTGCAGGGCTGCAACAGTGGGGGCACCGTGAGCCAGAGTGGGGGCTGCAGGGTCGCCCCCTCCAGGAACCCCAGGTTTCTGACCCCCACTGTCCCCTGACAGCCCCTCAGCTGAGCCCAGTCCCTCCCTCCAGGACTGGGCTGTGAGAGAACCAGCCCTGTTCTCCCATCTGACCCCAGACCCACAGCCCCCACACCCCAGGGCCATCATCAACACTGGGTAAGCGCTGGAGGGTTATGGAGACCTGTCAAATGGGGCCACGCGGTCGTGCACACTCCCACCCCGCCTTTGCTTAGTCCACCCAACTGCCATTTGAGGGAGAGGCTCAGGCTACTTCCCCCACAGAGACACGGAAGTTGGAGATCCCACAGCTGCTAAGGGGAGAGACAGGATTGGAACTTCGGCCTCCAGACTCTAACACCGGCTTGCCCACTGCATCCTGTTGCCTCCTGCAAACCCGACTTTGCTTCCCAAGCTCAGAGTCCAAAGCCTCTTCTGCACAGGAGCCCCAGCAGCTGCCACCCACCCGCCCATGGCCTCCTGGGGAAGCTGGAGGTGGGATTTCCACTCCTAAAACCCCCATCTGCCCGGATTCCTCCTGTCCTGGGCGCTGGGAGGAGGGAGGTCAGGAAAGCTTCTCAGAAGATATGGGCCTGAGAGCATGAGGGGGAGAAGGGTGCCTGGGCAGAGGGACCTTGGTGTCTGGGGATGGGATGTGCTGGGTAGTCAGGCCAAGAAGCTGCTTCTTGGTCAGCGGCTGGTCCCAGCCTCGGGGCCAAGCTGTGATCGCCAGGCCTCGATGAAGACCCAGGTAGCACACGACAGCTTGGTGAACGCAAGGCCCCCTGGAGGGACCTTCCAGGGAGAACCGCTTCAGCTATAAGGAGATTCAGCCCCCTCACAATGGCCAGGGACAGAGCTGAGGGCAGCAGGGGGTCCTGAGGGAGCCAGGCCCTGGGGCGGGCACGTGGAGCCCACGCTATGGAGTGTCCACTCCGTGCACACCTGTTCCTCCTGCCTTGGCCACCTGGGAGGAGGGAGGGCTGCTCCCCACTTCACAACTGGGAAGGCGAGGCTTGAGGAGAACTGAGCTTTGTACACCTATTTTGGTTGCCCCTAAGACCTGCACTGCATCCGGCTGTACCCTCACTACTCCGAGCTTCCTGAATCCCTGTGGCAAAGATGACAAGGAATCCCTGTGCAGGGCTGAGCCTTGGTCAGGGGCCCCTCACTGAGAATCACCTCTCCTTTCCCCAAACACCAAGTGAATCAGCAGGAACATGAGAATTCCCAGACCTCATGACCAGGCGGCCACCACACGAGGACAAAGGATGACCCAGTTACCCCAGGATGTTGTCCAGGGGATCTCTGCTCTCCCTCCTCTCAGACCCTGGGCACTGCCCTCCAAGCCTGCTCACCCTCGTCCCTCTCCAACCTGGCTCTACGCTGTGTGGCTGCCCCGGAGCCGGCTCCCTCCCGGGGCTCTGGCCATGGCCAAGTCCATCTCAGACTGTGCGAGGCTGGGAGCACCTGGTCTTGGAGGGGGCACGCCTACCTGTGCCTCAGAGTCTTTTGGTTTCAGTTTTCTCATCTATAAAATGGGGATCAACCCAGTGCCTTCCTCAAAGAGTTGTTGGAGGGGCAAACATGTCCAGCCTGGTCAGGGCTTCCAGGAAAGAAACCTGCAGAGGGTCTTACTTCCCGCTGGCTGGTTTGGATAGTTCCTACATGCTCCCACCCTTGACACCTTTGTCCTTTGGTCAAGACAGAGACTCTTTCTGCCCCCAGAGGAGATTCTGGTACAGACACAGGAGGGCTGCACGCATGCTCTCAAAAAAAGCCAGGATGAGGGTCCAGCTTTGGCCACCCCCAGGGTCTACTTAAGATCCCAAGAGCAAGTCCACACTCTTGTCTTGGCAGTCAAGGCCACAGGACCTGGGCTGCCCTCCCTACCCTGAGCATCAGAGGGCCCTCTTGCTCCCCAGGCCCTGCTGTTCCAGGATGAGGTGCCCCCAGCCCTGGTCCATCTCCACCAACTTGGCACTGGGTGAGAGAGGGGAGCATGAGAACACAAAGTCTGCCCCAGGAGTTGAACCCCAGCATCCCCAGCCTTCGGTTACCCCTGTTAAATAATGACACTCGACCCTCATGTGAGGCCCAGCACTGAGGTGATGCCTGTAAGGTGCCAGTGCAGGCTAGTGGGGCGAGCGTGGCTGTGACCACCATGACTTGCCATCGTCACAGTCCCTGCGGAATGGGAAGGGGCAGCTGCAGCCTGTCAGGGCCAGAGCTGCCTGGACGGCCTGCAGCGAACAGTGTGGGGCAACCCTACCTTTAAGCCCTCCCTGCCTGGTCTCCCAGACATGCAAGCCTGAGCCCCCCTCCATTGCCCCATGTGGGGTGTCGTGCTCGGGCCCAGGGTGGGGCTAGGATTTGAAGGACAGTGTGGCCATTGCCCTAGTTCCTCGGTTGTCACAGATACGCATAGCGTCACCTTGGAGACACCAGCTCCTTTCTTCCAAGGGAGGAGAGGGAGGCTCAGAGAGGTGAGCACTCTGCCCAAGGTCACACAGCAGCCAGTCACAGAGCCAGGAGCCACAAGCGGGCCAGACTGACTCCAAGGCCTATATTTCTTTCTTCCGTAAACACTTTCTTACATTGCGTTTTCAAGAATCACACAATATTTTTAAAAAGAGAAACCCATTTGAGGAAAACGCAGTGGCTGCCCCCTAGACTGAATGCACCTACCCTGTCTCCTCGCTTTCCTACCCAGGTCTGACAGCAGGCGGGGCAGGTGGGAGTGGGGGAGAGGAGCTGGGCCGCAGCAGAGGCAGGCCGGCAGCCCCAGGAGGGCCCCCAGGGGCCAGGCAGGGCTGGGGGAGGGGAGGGGAGGCCGCCACAGCCCGTGGCCTGCAGGCCAAAATAGCAGAAAGGGAAGTGGGCCGTTTTCAGATGAACAAGGTTGGCAACAAGCCAACGGCGGACAAGCTCTCGTCTCGGCTGGGCTGAGGGCGCCTCAGCCCCCAGCCTCTCACCCCAAAAGGCCTTGGAGACCGTCCTGCCCAGGCTCCCAGCCCTCCTCATGCAGTGGGTGGGGAAACTGAGGCCCACCAGGCCTGAAGGGCAGGCTATGGGGCGAGGGGTGAAGCCAAAGATTCCGGTCAGGGCCCTGGGAAGGCTTCACCCGCTGGGCTCTGCTCCATTTCCCCAAATAACCTTGGCGTTCAGATGAGGCTGACCCAGAGGCCTCTAGAGGAGGTTCTTAACACTCAGGTGGCTGGTGTAGGGGCCTGGGCAGCCCTTGTTCCGGGGCAGAGGTGATGGGTGGTAAAGGCCGGGGCCACCTGTTGCCAGAGCGGGGCACCAGGAGCACCCCAGGGCCTACCATTTCTCTGACTCCCCCAGCAGAGAGCAGGCGGCCAGGCAGGGGCTGGGTGGGGGCGGCTGGGACAGCTGCTTCCCCCTGGCCTGGGGTAGGACCCAGGCCTGTTTGTCTGTAGTGTCTCACCCATCTCCTGTAACCCTGTGGCAGGGATGTTACGGTCCCATTTTACAGACAAAGAAACCAAGTTTCATGGGCCCGGGCCCGCGGAGCCGCTGTCCTGGCCCCTCACCAGTCCCTGGAAGTGATGGGACTGCCCCGAGGCCTTCCCAGGGCTGTACAGGCTGGCCTGGGGAGGCTGGAGCCCCAGAAACAGCTGCCCTTCTAGTGCCGCAGGGTCTGGGGTGAAGGTTCCCTAACCAGGGGCACCAGGACAGGACTGGGACCCAGGGAGAGGGTTCCAGGCGTCCAGGCTTCTTCTCAGCCCACCCAGCGGGCAGCCAAGTGTTCCTGCTGGGCCAGCAGGGCCACTCCCACCCCCGTGGGGTGTCAGGGGAACAGCCTCAAGACCCCTGCCTTGGGGCCAGTCTCCAGGCACCCCTGGGAAAGGCTTACCTGAGAGCGGACGGCTCCTCACTGCGGCCACCTCATCCTGAGCCCACACACCTGCCCGAGCCGATGCCAACGCCACAGAGACTGGCGGGCAGCAGGCAAGGCAGAGGGCTTCCTGTCAGCCACTGAATCATCCCTCACATCCGCTGCTCTGCCGGACAGGCCCTGCGCTTAACAGACGGCGGCAGAGAGAGAGAGAGAGAGAGAGAGAGACTGAGACAGACAGGAACAGAGAGAACAGAAAGATGTGGACACACACACAAAACACACAGTAAATACACAGACACACACACACGTCTCATGGAGAGGAACACACACAGAGGGACAGGGAGAAAAAGAATGAAATGTGGGGGCTCCCATAGACACACACAGGCAGCGAAAGAGTAGGAAGGCCCAGAGAGATGCACACTAAAAACACACAGACACATAAATACACGTCCACACTGAAAACACAAAGGAAGAAAACCAGAAAGACACACACACAGGGAGAAAAAGATATATGTGCAGGAAGAGAATGAGAAATAC